GCCTCCTCCTGGTTCCAGCCACTCCAAACCAAAACAGCCACCCCTACTGCCCTCAGTCCATCCTGCCTCACAGCAAGCAGCCCCTTAGGACAGAGCAGAACTGCCCCCACGGGGTTTACAAGGCTTCAGGAGCCCTGGTGGCACTGCGGGCTGGGCCCTGAACTGCTAGCTGCCAAGCAGGAGGTTCAACCCATCAGCAAGAAAGGTGAGGCTATCTCTCATCACGGTTTAGAGCTTCCCAAGCCTTCCATCGGTCAGTGTAAACAGGAGCCCTGGAGACGCAGTGGCTGTGCATTGGCTGCTGGAAACCACCAGCGACTCCACAGGAGAAAACCAGGTTCTCTCTCCCTGGGAAGAGCGGTTCTCAACCTGGGGGCGAACGACCATTTCACATGGGCCGCCCAAGTCATCACAGTAGAAAGACTTATAGTTATGAAGTAGCAACTAAAATAGTGTTATGGTTGGGGGCTCACCACAACATGAGGAACTGTATTAAAGGATCGCAGCATTAGGAAGGTTGAGAACCACTGCTTAAAGAGTTACAGTGTCTCACCCGCGGTACCTAAGGGAAGAAGATGAGGGCGCTTACAAGAAACTGCCCTCGGTACAGGCAGAACAGCAGAGCTCCTGGCGTGATGGAGGAGATGCGCAAGGCAGCACGTGCGGCCATGCGGGGATCCAGTCACGAGAAGGCGCCTAGGAGAGGTGCTACAAAGAAGAGGTGGAATCATCCCAAAATCAGCCCAGAAGAAAGGTCGGGTAGCTCAGAAGAGAGCTGCCGCGAGCTAAACCAAACCATACTCTCCCATGAGGGTTTCCCACAGGAGACGATAAACGTATTCACCAAACCAAAAGAAAACAGAATTATGGTCTTGGAAACCTACAAGGACAGTCTGTCGGGCGCTATGGATCAGATTTAAGTCGGAACTGACCTGATGGCAGCGGGGGTGCTTTTGGGGACTCTTGCTGGTAGCAGACTGCCACCGCTTTCTCCTTTCCTTCAGCCAAGCACTTTAAACGCTGTGCCACCAGCATGCCTTACCCGCATTAAGCATGCTTCCCTCCTGCGGCCGTCAGCTCCACTGAGGTCAGGCTTTGGGCCTGCTGTCCCGCTGAACTATTCCCCAGCTAAGGGCATGAAGAGACACCTCCATAGGCCAAACCTTGCATCCCAGAACCAGGGTGATGTGGTTTATTCCCATCCATCAACAGACGGCCCCTGGGGTCAGCCAGACACCGGTCTGGATCCCGGTTCTTACTGTGTCTACAACACTGAGAAGTTACTGAACGTGTTGGCCGAGGTGGCTGGGCCAGAGGGGAAGGCAATAGTGTAGTAATTCCTGTCCGTCTGTCAGTAAATGGCTTGGGACTGAGACTGAGACTCAGCGCTGACCAAGAAGTACTCTGCAGGAAAGCTGCTGAGGTGCCTCTTAAAGGGAGCACAGGCACTCCCACCTCTCCTGCATGGGCACCTGGGGCAGGAGCAGGGAGTAGCACTCTGGTACTTTAAGAGGACAAGCCAGGGCAGTGGGGAAGGCAGCCAACAGACAGCAGCGGTGAGAACAGTGGCCCTGGGGATGCCTTCGTTGATAAGATAATTAGCTTTCCTTTCTGGTAAATTGCTTTCAGCGCATTTTTATATTCCTTAGTGCCCAAAGCATTCTGACACACTCCTCCTTTGTCAAATGGGGATAAGTTTCTAGCTCATGGACGTACTGCCAGGAGTCAAGTGTGTGTGCTCAATAATAATGGCTGTGATTTTCATGGCACGCAGCCGCCTGCTACACACCCAGCACAGAGGCAGAGCAGTTAGCACCTTCCAGGGCGGCCTCTGACTGCTGTGGACAAGAGGCCTGGGGAGGGATGCGGGAGACTGCTGAGCAGGCAGGGACAGCGGCAAGCTCATGGCAAGCTCCTGACAGAGGACAGAGTAACGCTGCAGGGAAGCGCAGGGGGCTGGGAGATAAAAATCACACAACCAGGATGCAGCCAGATTACGGAGGCCAAAGGCAAATACAAGAATGCCCCACAACAGAACCGCATCCAGTTAGCTGTGACACGCAGAGCCTTCCTAGTTTTACAATAACTTCCACTTTACAGGATGGGGAGACGAAGGCTAAGTCCCTGGGGAAAGGCCATACCTTCACCACTACAGCACCCAGACTTCAGAGGGGTGTGGAGCTCAGGACTGCTCAGGACCCCCAATGCACGCTGCTGCTGACACAAGACCCTTGAAACAACAGCCAGGTAAATCAGAGCTTTCTAGGGTGCCAGACCCCAACTGGTCAATTCAGACCCCTTAAAACCCTATAGGTCAAAGTAGAACAGCCCCATTTTCCTGAGGCTATTAAAACTTCGTGGAAACGTCATCTTTCTCCAGTAGAACACCTGGAAGATTTGAACTGCTGACCTTGGGTTAGCAGCCCAATGCGTAAACACCTAAGCCATCAGGGCTCCCTTTCCTGGGCACAAAATAAAGAACCACTAAACTCCCTGCCATTGAGTCGATGCAGACTCAGCCATCCTACAGAGCGGGACAGAACTGCCCCTGTGGGTTTCCGAGACTAACTCGTTACTGGAGGAGAGAGCCCCATCGTTCGCCTTCCTGGGGCCCAGCAGGGGCGTAGTGGTTACATATTGGGCTGCGATCCACATGGTGGTCAGTTCGAAACCACCAGGAGCTCCACAGGAGAGAGGCTGGGCTTTAAAGTCCGGTAAACAGTTATTGTCTCAGAAACCCATAGGGGCTCACCATGAGTCAGCACTGACTGGCTGGCAGGGAGAGGGCACCCAGAGTCCAATGAACAAAGTGGTAGGGTCCCCATGGGGGCATGCTGCCACCTAGTGGCTTTTAGAGAAAATTACATGGGTCTCCATTGTACGACCTTGACCTTCATTCATCTGGATGGACCATGGTGAAGAATACTGACAGTACCATGGACTGCCAGATACACAAGCAAGCCCGTCTTGGAAAAAGTACTGCCAGAATGCTCCTCAGAGGCAAAGATGAAGAGACTTCATCTCATACACTTTACACATGCTGTCAGGAGAGACCAGTCCCTGAGGGAGGCCAGCATGCTTGGTGAAGTAGAGGGACCGAGAAAAAGAAGAGCCTCTGCAAGAGGGACTGGCACCGGGGCTGCAACAGCCGGCTCAGACATAAGATCAGCCGTGAGGAAGGTGCAGGGCTGGGCGGCGTTTCACTCTGCTGCACACGGTCGGAACCGACTGGACGGCACTGAGCAACAAGAACACCAGGAGGGCGCACCGAGCTTGCCCATCACTCAATCCAATGAGCATCTATTGCGTTCCTACTGTCCGCTGTAGGAACTCAATAGATGCTGGTGTGGTGGGGAGGCTGGAAAGTGGGGAGGAGGGGAGGGAGCCACGAGGTGCTTATAAGCCAGTGAGACAAAGGGCCATACCAGGGGTGTGCTCATACTGGGCGCTTTGACAAGGAGTTTGAGTTAAGTACAAAATTGAGGATCTACAGTGAAAACCCCCCTCTAATCCACACAGGGTTTTGTGATTGGTTTCTTTTAAAGTGACCTGTTCAAGGGGCTGGAGAGCAGAGTCCCAGCAGCTGAGCAGGCAGACCTCCATCACCCCTGGAGGCCCAGCGTGGAAGATTCAAAGGGGCAAGTGTTGGCCTGAGAAGCAGCAGAGAGCTGAGCCTCCTTCTCGGATTGCTCCGTTTTTAATGGCAAAGTCTTGGTGCCTTGTCCACATCTAACTGAGGGCAGTGCAGCCTTCCTGGGAGCCGTGGTGAATCTGAGTGGCATTCATTCACTTTGCAGCCCGCAGAGGCCATGTAGCACCCTCGCTGCAGCAGCACGGGCTCGGAGTTGAGGATGAAGCAGTACCAGGTCCTGTGACTACCCTGACCTGGCCAGGCCAGGTCACCTTCTGCAGCCAGGGCCCAGCTCCCAGGGGTCAGTGCTGAGCGGAGCTGCCTAGAGAGCCTGGAGTCACACCCCACCGCCGGGCTCACAGCAATTCTCCAGCTGCTAGAGGCAAGAGATGGATGCGGCATACCTACCTGGCCTTTGGAATCACCAGTGTGATCCCAGTGCTCTGCTACGCCACTTGCCTGTCTTTCTAAAGCTGATCTTCTCGATGGGAAAACGGAATTGGATTTAGTGATATTTAGCATATAGTAATAGAAAAGCATATTACTATATGCTCTAAGATGCTTCCAAAATTCTATGTAGGATAAATCTTACTTCTTTTTTTTTTCCCTTTTGAAATATACCTTTGTTTACCAGGAGGTTTCAAACAGTTCGTGGAAAAATTATATTATCTTCACCTTTCCATCTTCTCGAGCTCCTTGAAGCCCTTTTGCATCTAAGTCTGCCGTATCGCCTCCACAAAAAGGTGCCCCCATGGCAAGACCCACTGTGTGTTCAATCCCTCCCCACCTCTCTTCCTCAGCTAGTGAGAGTTGGGGTTTTTTGGGGGGGCGGGGAGGGTTGTTGTTGTTGTTGTTTTGTTTGTTTAGTTTTTCTGAGTCAAACAACAGACCTTGCTCCTCACTTCTTTCCCACGAAGTATCCAGAGGCTCTGCCCCAGAGTGCACCCTGATCCAGAACAACAGCACGCAAAGCAGGACCGTGTTCACTGCCCTTACCTGGGAAGGCAGTACTTCCAAACTCTTCAAGAAACAGACTACAGATTGTCCCCAAGGGGCATCAAAGGCAAATGTCCATCAGAAACTTCAGGAGGGGTGTGAAAACCAGCCCCGAGCCGTGAAAGGCCTTCAAACAGACACGCAGGGGCAGGGGCAGGGGCAGGGGTAGGGCCACACAGAGACTTTCCGACAACTGGGGCTCTCAGGAAGCCAGGAG